GTTTTCTAAAAAAATAATGTTAGTAAGTTCTTATGAGACTGAGCAATATAAAAAGAAAAGGCACAATTTCCTGATATTAGGCTTAGAAGGGCAAGTATTGTCTTAGATCATGTAAATACCACATGAACATAATACGAGGACATTATCTTAACTGATTCCTTGCATAGACTTTGCTAGTTGAAGAGATTATGCTTCTTTTCTTTTCTTTCTTTCTTTTTTTTTTTTTTGTTTAAGATTTCATTTATTTATTTGACAGAGGGAAAGACAGCAGGAGAGGGACACAAGCAGAGGGGAGTAGGAAAGGGAGAAGGAAGCTCCTTGAGGAGCAGGGAGCCCAACATGGGGCTGGATCCCAGGATCCTGGGATCATGACCTGAGCTGAAGGTAGATGCTTAACCGACTGAGCCACCCAGGCACCTGATTATGCTTATTTTCTTAAAGAGGTATTCAAGTCAATTTGGCAGTTTTTTTGTAATAAAATAATACATTGGCATTTTACTTGCTAATCTGATGTTTTTTCAGTTTAGTTAGAGTGACCCAGTTCTACAGCTTGAAAAACGCTTTGCAAACCAACCTAGTTGGGTCTTTGCATAAGTAAAGCAGAGGACCAGACATTGACCCCAAATTATTCCAGATGATGAGCAGTCCTGCCATTGGCCCAGTTGGATCCTTTCTCTTGAATTTTAATGTGTAAATTTTTTCTGTTGCATGTGCACATAAGATCATGTCTTATGTGGGGCGCCCGGGTGGCTCAGTGGGTTAAAGCCTCTGCCTTTGGCCTGGGTCATGATCCCAGGGTCCTGGGATCGAGCCCCATGCGGGGCTCTCTGCTCAGCAGGGAGCCTGCTTCCCTTCCTCTCTCTCTGCCTGCCTCTCTGCCTACTTGTGATCTCTGTCAAATAAATAAAATCTTTAAAAAAAAATCATGTCTTATGTATATTTATATCCTGCACATAGCAGACTGAGTAGAATTTTGCCCAGTAGAGGCAACATAGGAGGAAAACTATGGGGACAGGAAATAGCACGGTGTGTTCAGGGAAGAGCAACTTATCTGGCTGCAGAATAAAAGATTTGGGGGAGGAACACCTGTGTGGCTCAGTCAATTAAGTGTTTGCCTTCAGCTCAGCTCATGATCCCAGGGTCCTGGGATCAAGCCCTGTGTCAGGCTCCCTGCTCAGCCGGAAGTCTGGTTCTCCCTCTCCCTCTGCCCTCTGCCTGCTGCTTGTGCACACGCTCTCTCTCAAATAAATAAATAAAAATCTTAAAAAAAGGAAAAACAAGATTTGGGGGAATTCTGAGGGGAGAAGCTAGCAGGATAGATGGACTTGATTCTGGTTGTGAAAGATCTTGAAAGAGATATCTTTCTGTAAATGCTTGGGACTCACCAAAGATTTCCAAACATGGGAGTGACATAAGCAAACTGGTATTTCAGAAAGTATGCAAGCTCATTCTTAGAGCTTCTCAAACAAATGAATGTTATGTGTTATATTCTCTTTCCTAGGTTGTAAGTAACATATATATATGAAGTCCTCAAAATATTTTTGACTGATTAATTGATCGATAGACTCTCTTTTATGAGTTAACATGCCAACTTGCTTATACAAACTGCTGTGGAAGACCCAGATGTTAGTTCTCTTCCTATAAGAGTTTAAATACAGTGAGGAGGTAATATTTATACACATAATACAGAAAGAAAGATGGACCAGGAGTAAAAGAACATGAATTCTAGATCCATCTCCTCCATTTTAGTTGTTTATAAAACACATAGTAGGGGCGCCTGGGTGGCTCTGTTGGTTAAGCGTGTGCCTTCAGCTCAGGTCCTAATCTCGGGGTCCTGGGATCGAGCGCCACATTGGGCTCACTGCTCAGCAGGGAGCCTGCTTCTCCCTCTCCCTCTCCTGCTCCCCCTGCTTGTGCTCTCTCTCTGTCAAATAAATAAATAAAATCTTTAAAAAACCCAAATATTCAGTAAGCATCAATGATGTGTCAGATATCTGCTGAATTTTAGATATATGCTGATCAGCTAAATAATCATGGGCTTTGTTCTCATGGAGCTTCTGTGTTCTGTGGAAGATAAAGATATCAAACAATCACCAAAGTTTATTCAACAAATATATATTGAGTATATATAGGGGCTTGAGGTAATGATGAAAAAGCAGACAGAGAGGGCACCTGGGTGGCTCAGTGGGTTAAGCCTCTCTCTCTCTGCCTGCCTCTCTGCCTGCTTGTGCTCTCTCTGTCAAATAAATAAATAAATAAAATATTAAAAAAAAATGCAGACAGAGATCTGTGACCACAGAGGGTTTACATTCTAGTGGGAGAAGACAGAAAATAAGCTCTAGACAAAAATAAGGTAAGGTATCACATCTTATTAGATGACAGGTATTATGGAAAAAAGAAATTAAAAGTCAGGTAAAGATTTTTAGTAATGGAGAGGGGTTGCAGGTAAGAGTTTGGAAGAGGTTGACATTTGAAACAGGACAGAGTGGCAAGAGGATGTATAAGCAAGGACTTAGAAGAGTTTGGGAAATTGACAGTGTAGATATACAGGGGAAATGATTTCTGGCCAAGGAAACAGCCAATGTAAAGATCCTAACACAGAGAGCATTCTGGAATGTTCCTGGCATAGCAATGAAGCCAGATCATCTGAAAAACAATAAGCCGAGGCGGGGGTGGAGGGTGGAGTGGGGTGGGGTGGAAAGCAGGTATATCAGAAAGGTGGTGCCGATTTTGCAGGATCTTGTGGGTCATTGCAAGGATTTTGACTTTATGGAGAGAAATGGAGACCCATTATAGGAGTTTGAGCAGAGCTGACTGACATTTTAACAGGATGACTGGCTTCATATTACAACCTGTGGCCAAAATGTGATAGGTGTGCCCAGAGGTAGGAAATAGGAGGACCAAATTTATAAAATATCTGTGTGATATTAACCTAAGCTTAACCAGCTTCCATGGCTAACTGGGTCATCGTGTTGAGGACCCAGTAGCATGCTGCATACATACGCCCACATTATAGAATATTATTCCTTGGTAATAATGCAGAATGGTGTGGAATCCAGTCCCAGAAATACTTCAGCAGCAAAAGCATGCATTCTCAAAAGGAACAAGACCACCCCCAAAGGGGTAGACATTGGTCCTTAGGGAGCCAACAGCTTATTCTTTTCCTGTATATAAAGCACAGATATACATACAGTACACAAACAGATATGTAGTATATCAGCAATATTTTCATTTTTGGGAGAAAATATCTGGAAAGGATTCTTTGGGGATGGGGTGAGAGGGGAGGCTTGTGTGATCAAGAATATAGGTTGGAAAACACTGAATTCAGGAGGGAGTGAGATCACCGAGCCGGATGTTAGGAAACCATCTCTGAAATCAGCTGTATCACTAACTCTCTGTGTGAACTTGCACCTTCACCTCCCTGTTCTAGGTTTCACGCTTTTTCCCCAATGTGAGGTGAATGTTAGACTAAATGGTATTCTAGGTTTTCTCTGGCACTAAAATTATGAAGGGGATTTGAGCTGGGGCTCCACTGAGTTGTATAAGCCTATGGTCTTGTACCAGGGATTTGGACCCGTCAGACCTCACTTTTCAATAAAAGATAAAGGGTTAATATCAAAAGCCTTTAAAGTGTGTCTCTAGCATCCTTGCTCTTATCTATTCTTTGAACCCTCCCCAAAGCTAGAATTCTAGAAATTCTTCTCTAGTTTGCTCCAGGCAATTCCTGGATACAATGCTGGAGCGAAGGGTACAAGGGAGTGTTGTTAATAAAATGTTCATCTAATGTTTTGTCCAGAGTTGCATTGCTTCTTAGATTTTCACATGGTTGCTAGACATTAAAGTGCCTTCATAATCTATCTGGGTTGTCACTTTAAAAGAACCATGTGCATGGTGTGAAGAAGGGAAACGGGAACTAGCAGAATAGAGTACCCCATTAAAAACAAAGAGCCTGGGGCACCTAGGTGGCTCAGTGGGTTAAGCCCCTGCCTTCAGCTCAGGTCATGATCTCGGGGTCCTGGGATCGAGCCCCGCGTCGGGCTCTCTGCTCGGCGGGGAGCCTGCTTCCCCCTGCCTCTCTGTCTACTTGTGATCCTGGCTGTCAAATAAATAAATAAAATCTTAAAAAAAAATCCCAAAGAGCCTGTCTATTTGTGGCATCTGTAGGTGACATCAAATAGGCAGTAGCTCCTTCCTGCTTATCCCAGACGTGGGCCAATTGCACTAAGAAAATCTTGAATAGTTTATTTTGTGCCCTTTAGGGTTTAGTTTTTCTTCCCAGCCTTCCAAATATGTTTAGAAGTCTTTTGACAGCAGAGAATGTATCTTCTATCACATATGATTAGTGCTCAGTGAGGTGCTGTCCCTGACAGAATGTTGGCAAAGGTCTGTTGACTGTAATGATCACATGGATTTAAACAGGAAAATAAAACCCAAAGCCATAAATCTTTGAGTTCTTTATTTTGGGTGGTCTGTACTGATGCGACTATAGACAATGCGTTTATCTCCTTTTCCTTCTGCCGTTTAATCACCTAGTGGTGTTTCCAGATAAGAAATGCAAATGGAATTTATTACCTAACTGGATCGTGTATAACTCACGTATCCTAGGGTATGGATGCTTGCAGAATTGTTTCGTGTCATGAATTCAGCTGCTAATGGATGAGTTACCATTGTGGAGAACTGCTCTCCCCTCAGCTGCAGAGACTTTTTGAATGTTGTCAATATTTGGAGGCAACTGGAAAAGGGAGCCCTCTTGAGTGACAAATGGCTAAATATTCAGAATTTCCATGTGGGCTGGTAAGATAACTCAAACCCCCTTGCTAAACCGGGGAATCTCAGAGTTCCTGGCAGTGAGGAAACCTCCAGAGCCTGCTTGAAAGTATCCTTAGGAGTGAAGGAGTTAACTGAGGGTGGCAGCTTTATCTTGCGTCCAATGGACTTGTGGTTTGCTGGTGAAAGTCTCTGGTAAATGATTGTTAGAGACGTCTCATGGGTAGCTGTTGCTAGTCACTGTGTTTCAAAAGCCTGTTGATTCCTGTGCAAGGTGGTACAGCACCCTCTCTCCCTTTCTTCATTCCTGATTCATTCAGGTCCTCCTGCAAAAGATCTACCAGATCCACGAACATGAACGACGAAGAAAATAACACCGTCTATGACACAGTCCAAAAGGAAGGGCTGCATGAGCTTTCAGACCAGCCAGAAGAGGATGAAGTTCCTCTTTATGATAACATCCACGGAGGCCTGCCAGAAAGCAAAGCCTATGCCACTGATCTGGAAACCCATGAATATGACTCTGTTTATGTGACTGGAGGTGAGGAGAAGGGCTTGACCTCTTCCCAGCCAGAAGCAGCTGGATACCTCCTGCCTGATGAGGATCTTGCCCAGGATCTTCACCCAAAGGAACAGCAGGAAGACCAGGGCATCTCAATGGAAGAGTTACACTCACCCACCCAAGACCAGGAGCCTGGCCCGGAGACATCCCAGAAGGATGGAGACAGGAAGACGGGACCCTGGCTTTCCCCCCAAAACTTCACCATCCAGCAGAGCAGGGCCTTCTTCACCAGCAATTCTGCTGCTGATAGCTTGGAAGCAAACAACCCAGCTTCCACACACCCTGAGATCAGCCTGTTTGTGAAGGTAAGGGCTGTCTCTGATAGGTACCCTTGCATGGATGGATGGACTAATTGGGGTCTTCTTTTGCTCCAAGTGTCCAGGAAGAGATGCAGGATGTCCTGGTCTTTTGATCTCAAGACATATTCAAGAGTAGGGCTGGTTAAATGAGTCAATTCCAGAGTTCCCTCAGGGATGCTCCAAAGTATAAGAATTGGAGAGTGCATTTAAATTGTGTGTCTCAGTCATTGACTTTATAGACTACAGGCAAAGCATGTTTTTTAGAGTTCACTTCCAAGTGAGCAGAAAATGGAGCTCAAATCCTTACCTATGTGACAGACATTGAGTATATTTTCCCGACTGGTTAGATTTCTTTTGTCAACTCAGTTCGCAAAAATGAAACCAAGTCTTGCGAGAGGAAATCGAATCCACAGTCAGCCAGGCACCGGGGTTTCCTTCTTAGTATTTCTAAGGTCACAGACACTTCAGATATATGGTCAATAAACTTTACCTCTGTCGCTGAGCCTGCCCTTTCAGCATCAATATAACGAAAATATCTGATGAATCATGAAATGATTTCAGTGGTAAGAGTATTAAGACGCTAATAGCCAGTGTTAACGTTTAATGCTTAGATAGATAGATTCTCAGAACTTAGATACTCAGAACTTTAATGATTATGATGTAGAAAGAACCTTGGTAATCTTTGTTTTAGACTGATATTGTGGTAAAGACCATTTATTACAATGTTATCAAAACATAAAAAAAGCATTCCAGGGCTATCTTTATGAATCATCTTTATGATTCATAAATCATGATTTATAAATCAAAGATGATTCATCTTTATGAATCATGAGGGAAGAACATTCTTCCCCAACATCCACTCCCTGACAATATTCATATTTACACTTTTCTTAGTATGAAGACCACATATTGATAAATACTTTGTTTTAACCCACAAAACCCTCAGTTCACACTTACTTGTCCCCTTTGTGGTTTCTAATAACTCCAGTAAAATAGACTTTATTTGCTCATTGAGGATATTATTATTTTTTGACTTTGTATTTTTCCCTAGTTGTTTTGTGTGTAAATTGCATCTCCTTTATTCTACCACAAGGTTTTTAAAGAGCAACTAGCGGGAGTATCTGGCTCATACTTAGGGACCCCTCAAAACTTGCCTGGTATTATGTTATTGGTGGGGTGGGAGGGGTGTGAGAGATGAGGAGGGAACTTACTGTCAAGAAATCAGCAGTGTGGTACAGGAGACAGATTTGCACGTGGTTAATTTCAGTGAACGAGAGGCTCAGCTGAGCGCAGCGGGTATTCCTGGGAAGGAGTAATCAAGTGTGTGGGAAGGAATCAGGAGAGGCTCCACTGAGGAGGTGACTGATGTTCAAACAGGTGCATACAAGCAGCCTCCCAGCTTCCAAATCCACATCACTGTTATGTTAGTTAAAAACAACAACAACAAAAAAAACCCCCACAAAACCCTGCACTTAGTGAGGACTAGTGGTGTATTTTTCTCGGGACAGAATCATCCATGCAGCTTTATGTAGCCGACAAGGTGGATCGTGGTCACTGGCGACACCCATTAAGACATTTGTAAATTTGGCGGAGTGTTGATTTCCCCAGAAGTTAGCCTGCCAAGGGTGCCAAAGCAACGGAAGTAGGAGAAAACAGAAGTATTGGCATCTCCCGCTGGTATTGGCAATAGGAAAAACTGTTTGAAGGAAATGTGTGGTCCTATGTTAATTAAGATCTGTAGTTCCCGAAAGCAAATATTGGCTTTAACGAACTCTTTAGGTTTACATTCTTTTTTTTTTTTTTAAGATTTTATTTATTTATTTGACAGACAGAGATCACAAGGAGGCAGAGAGGCAGGCAGAGAGAGAAGGGGAAGCAGGCTCCCCGCCAAGCAGTGGGTTGGATCAATGCTGGGCTCGATCCCAGGACCCTGGTCTTAACCCACTGAGCCACCCAGGTGCCCCGGTTTACATTCTTTTTAATGTAATTGTTAAGTAAGACGCCTCAGCTCCTATGTGGGCACTATTTTTTTAAAGATCTTTAGCAGTGCTCAGTAAGAAGAGCGACACTCCCCATCCCTGCTTCCCCATCCGGCACCAACCCCACCGCCGCTCTTTATTCAGTGTTGAATGGAAAATAAACGCAAAGGCAGAGCCTTCAGGGGGCTTCTCTCCTTACTTAGGAGTGGAGGGTCTAAGTGTCACCTGCTCAGGCTCCTCCCTACCCCCAGCTCTGGGGTGTGGGAACAGCAGAATGCTGGAAGTCTCCTGGGGTCATTCTTCCCCTGAGCCATTGCGGTGCGGACCACTTGGGCTGCGTCATAACATACTCACTTGCATGCATTTTCAGCTGTTCTAGACAAGCCAGGAAAAATGTCATGCGGGTTTGTCACTGTGTGTTCAACGAACATTTTACTGAGGCTCAGGCATTTCAGGGTGTCAGGCAATGTCATAATTAAAATATAGCAGTTATTTATTCATTCAATGTATTGTTATTATGTCAGGCCCTGGGTTTATAACAAAGTCCTGGGTCCCCTGCACTTTGCACTGTAGTGGGAAAAACTGGTGGACAATAAGCAGATACAACATATGCCTTGTGGTGATGGGCTTTAAAGAAACATGAAACAGAGTAACGGGTGTGGACGTGTCCTACTGTCCTATGTAACAGATGACCACACAACTCAGTGGCTTGAAACAACACAACAAATTCATGCTCTTGTACTGCTGGGCATCGGAATCTGAACTAAGTCTTATGGAGCTAAAATCAAGGTGTGTGCAGGGCTGTGTTCTTTCTGGAGGCTCAGGGGGCAATCTGTTTTCTTCCCTCTTCCAATTTCTAGAAGCTGTCTTCATTCCTGGTTCCTGGCCGATGTCCTATCTCCATGGCACTCCCTGCTTCTCTCCTCACTGTGCCTTCTTCTAATCTGACTCCTCTTATGTCCCTCTTATAAAAAGACTTGTGATTAGTTCAGGTCCCCCAGGATAATACAGGATAATCTCCATTTGAAGATCCTTAATTCAATCACATCTGCTAAGTCCCTATTGCCACCGAAAGCAACACGCATGGGTTCTTGCAATTAGGACGTGGACATGCTTGGGAGCCATTCTTCAGCTTCCCACAGCGGGACAGAGTGACAGTGAGGAGGGGAGTGAGGGGGCAGTGTGGCTGGAGTGGGGGGGAGCAAGGGTGGTAAGGTGGCAGCAGGTGAGGCCAGAGAGGTGGAGGTAGGCACAGAGCACGTGGAGGAAGCTCTTTCCCTTTTACTTGGACTGACATGAGAGACATCAGAGGTTTTTTTTGTTTTTTGTTTGTTTGCTTTTTAAGATTCCTTTATATATTTTAGAAGGAGAGAGAGATAGAGCATGGGGGGGAGGGCAAGAGAGGATCTCAAGCAGACTCTGCACTGAGTGCAGAGCCCGACTGAGGGCTCGAACCCACGACCCTGAGACCATGACCAGGGCTGAAATCAAGAGTAAGCCGCTCAACTGGCTGAGCCACCCAGGCGTCCCCTGGCTGCCTTTATGAATGCAGACTGCAAAAGAGAAAGAATAGAAGCAGAGAGGACAGTTTGGAGGCAGTTAAAAAACTAGGCAAGAGACGATGGTGGATTGGCCAATGGTGACCACAGTGGAAGTAGAGCGGAGTAGGACTGCAATGGCTTTGAAGAGTGAGCCCAAAGCTTCTGCTGGTGTGATGTATAAAGAAAGAGAGGAGCCAGGGTTGTCTCTAGGGGTTTTGACCAGCGCTACTGAGTGAATGGAGATGTTATTCCCATTTCACCTATGACGTCTTCTCCAGGAATATATGCGCAAGAAAATGTGCTCATACAGTCACTCATACACGGTCTTTCCTCCCTCCCTCCTCCCTCCCTCCTTCTCACCTTTCCTCCATCCTTCTTGCCATCTGCCCATCTATCCATCCATCCATCCATTCATCATTTACAACTTACTAACTACATGCCAGGTACTGGATAAGAGACAAACACACCATATCTTAATGCCAACTGTCCTGTAGGGGATGACAGAGAAACACAATTCTTGAAGATAATAAAAGGAAAGAAAGAATTGCTTCTTGGTCATTTCACTGAGATCCAGTGTAAAAAAGGTACCTAGTGAGAGTTGTAGTCCATATTATAGATAGCCAAGAGGGGTGGTTGGTTCAGAATTTGCCACAAAGGAGTGTGCAAATTGTCTTTATGCGTTCTGCTAAAACGGAGGGACCTGCAGACATAATTGTGTTTGTATGTGTATGTATAAGAGACAGAGAGAGAGGAGAGAGAGGGAGAAAGCGGAAAGAGACAGAGACAAAGTAGGAGAAAGAGAAAGGGAGGAAAAGAGAGAGATTTCTGGCATTTTGTTTAATGCAAAGAAAAAGTATTCTGATGATGGTTGTTATAAAGAAAAATGGTACAAATGAACACCACCATCCTGCACGTAATTGATGCCACTGATTATGGCAGGCGGTATATGTCATAGAGCAGGTTCTGGAAATCTGCATGGTTTGAAATGTGGCTGAGCCAATTAATTTCTGTTAAATTGTTAAGCTTCTCTGAGCCTCAATTTTCTCTTTGGTAAAATGGGTTTTATAATAGTAAGCTCCTCATAGGATTGCTATGAAGATTAAATAAGATGATCCATATAATTGCTTGGTATAGTATCTGACATACAATAAGTGCTCAATATTTGTGAGCTTAAGCTATTATTTATTGTGATGAACCTGAACCATCCACAAAATAATAATATTTATTTTAAGCACTGTGCCTTATAGTTAGTAGACATTTCATGAATGTACCATTAGCTGATCCTAACACGGACAGTGAAATATTGCGGAAAAAGCACTGGTCGGGATATTCAAATACAACTTTGTCAATAATTTGCTATCAAACATTGATAGCATGGATCCACATTCCCTCATTTGATTTCAGGGTATATGGCTCCAGCTCTTTACAAGGGTGCACACATATGCTACCACATATTACCCACTCTGGGATACCACTTGACAATGAT